AAATCTTGTATTGTAAGTTTACTTTTAAAAATGCAAGAGCCGGCGTTTTTCTGACACACGCATAGACAAAACAAATATGAGTGTTTGTAAAAAGAGAGCAGGTGTTACGGGGTTTGGACATTAAACCAAAAGGCAATGTGGGTTTAATTCATGTTGTGGGTTCAACAGAATGAAATCTTAGGTTTAAAGTGTTCTGCTTTCACCACAATTCAGCCCCTATTCTGGATTCAGAGATCACACTAGGACAGTCCACAAAATGGCTTAGCGTGTCAAACAAAGATGTTCCGCTTTAGCCAACCAGCCAGTCTTATTTCTTTATATTTATATGTATTTATATCACAAATTTGTCACCGCCTATCTCACTGCAGAGCGACTCTGGGCGGTTTCCAGTAAAAAGAATAAATATGAATTAAAATAGAGCAACTATTACTTCAAATACAACCGGACGGCCTATATAAATAATAAATATCTTCCAAGAAACTGATGTGAACTAGAAGTTAGTAGACTTATGCCTTAGTGCCAGGATCCTCAAACACCATGGTCCCCCTAAAACGCTAAATTAATTTCTGTGATTTCTTCCCCTTCCCCCATGAATAAAACACACAATTTCCTTGAGTTCAGGGTTGGGCAATAAAGAAATAAACCACTTCCTCTGAATCATTCATTTGGACTCTCCCCATGCCGAGGATTCTCCAATTTTGCAGGTTCCAGCTGTAGGTCGCCCAGCGAGAATAGGGATGGCCCGCCAGTTTAAGCCTGGGCAAGACCTGAGAGTTTGGGGAGCCCTCTTTGAAGGGGGTGGGGAGCCCCAGCCTAGAGCCCGAGCCATCTGCCCTTGCAGGCTTATGGCTGCCAAGACAGAAGCACCCAGCTGTGCGTCCGGCATTTGCATCTGTTGTGTGCTTCGGTTGCAGGGGAGGTGGCCAAAGGTTGTAAGCTCGTGAGGAATCGGTTTGACAACAGGGACCGAGAGTGGGCCTCCTATACCTGTGTGCTGGGTTTTCACGTTTTTGGTGAGTCAATGCTGGAGAAAGAGGCTGTTTCCGCTCGCTTTCCCGGAGAATTGTCTGATTTGTTTTCAGCAAAGCCCAGGGTCAGCCCGTCTGGGGCCACACTCAGCCCATTTCTAGCCTTCTTCACTCTTGATTTATTTCATGTCTCCTTCGGTTTCTCTTTGTCACCTGCCTTCCCGAACTCTGGAACAGCGTCCCTCCAAAGATCCAGACAGCAGCCACTTTCCTGGGGTTCCTTTAAGACCTGGCTGTGTTTGCAGCTCTGGGGTTCATGTGTTTGCGTCAGCCCTTCGAGGTAGCCCAGACAAGAAACACAAGAAACCCTAACACTACCTTTACTGTAAGGCTACAGTAACAGAATCTAAAAGCGCTTCTCCCCTCCCTTACTTTTACTTTCCAGAAAACTAGGGAGAGTCCCTTCTGCGATGCTTCCCACACCCCTTTTCCTTCTGTGGGCTGAGCCACCTTTTCCATGACGGTTGTCTAGGCTGCAGCTCTCCCTCCTGTCTCCCAAGGCTATTCTCACAGACCATTTCAGTTTGCTATCCATTGGTGGGGCCCCTGTTGCGTTTTTGTCCTGTTTATTGTTCTCATTCTTTTAGCCTGGGCTGCCTGTTTATGTAGGTTTAAACTGTTTTAATTATTTTGACAGTTGTTTGGGTTTTGCGAGTGGCCCAGAATCGTCTAGAATGGGCAGCCATAACAAATCTAATACGTGAAATCAAATTAAGCTCTCCTTTTCTTCTCCTCTGTCTTCTCTAACCCATCGCAGGGGTTTGGCCTGACGGCTCAGATGGCACCGATATCAACTCTCTGTGCCGTTCGCACAATGAGCGGGTGGTGGCCGTTGCTGATGATTTCTGCAAAGTGCACCTCTTCCAGTATCCTTGTGCCAAGCCCAAGGTAGGACGGAGGACAGTAAGGAAGAGAGATACTCTCACCAGGAGGAATTAATGGAGATTTTGGCTGGGAGGTAATGCCCAGACATTGCTGGACGGTCCTTATCCTTGAAAAAGCTTCTTGTATGTGTAGAGGTAGCCTTTCGTCCTTAGAAACTGGACTCTGAATGTGAGATGGGTGGCTATATAGAATGAATGAATGAATGAATGAATGAATGAATGAATGAATGAATGAATGGATGGATGGATGGATGGATGGATGGATGGATGGATG